CTCGCTTGGAGCATTGCCACCGACGGAGAAGGTATTCGCGGGATGTCATATTGTTGATCTTTGTTAGCTCAGTAGGCTCAGAACTATAGTGAGCTTGAGAAACGCAGTGCTAAACGAGGTCCAAGCATATTAGTGTCGCTCCGTTGCCAATGAGATTGCGCTGATATCTGAAAAGAACGCCTGCGAACGAATCGCATAGCAAGAATTGGGAACATGGGAAGCCTCGCGCCCTTCGTGAGCTGTCAATGAAATCTATGGATAGTCTGCCAAGAACGAAGATCCCAACTGGGTGAAATGCACGTCGACCGCGCATGATCCTGCATAAGGGACCTAAATGGCAGTAAGACGTTTTGATAGGTTGGTGTATGGCGAAACCCATTCCCGCTGTAGACGAGCATGCTCTGAAATTAGTGATACCTGGTTGAGCCATCAGTAAATATGGCACATCGCCCATGTATCTGGTATGAATCATCCAAAAATTACATCGACAAATAACCGACATTGCAAAAGCGTTTTTTTTTTTTTTTTTTCATTTTCATTTGTTTTTTTCTACATTTTGAAAAAGAGGAAAATTCATAGAGGGCAGATTAGATTTGTAAGAGGAGTGAAACCTGATAGCACTATACTATATAGTGGTGTCATAGTATTGAGCTCTTGATATCTGGAAATTTTTCTAGCTACACGGAAAAATTCATAGAAGGTAGGTTAGATATGTAAAAGAAGTGAAACCCTCTAGCACTATACTAGATTGCGGTGTCATAGAATACTGCTCTTCTTACCTGGAAAGATTTCTAGCCACACGGTTGTCTGCACAGTGATGTTTTAGGCGCCTATAGTTAAGTGTCGTAAGCGCACTCTCATTGGGTGTGTGTCCTTTTCTTTTATTTGTAGAACCAGGTTTAGATAATTACGGGCCTCTGTAATGTTTTCTCATATAGTGGTTGATGGCGGAACGTCAAAACAAGCTCGAAGGGCTTCTGCTTGTATATTAAGAAAAAAATGCATATATTTCTTCTCCAGGATTCCTTGAGTCGAAGAAGGCTATATTTTAGATTCTCTTACAATAACTGTTTGTTGGATATGTAGCAGTGTTGCGCTTGTTACCGAAAATAAGTAACGAAATAGCGTTATCCGTTAGCTTGAAAAAAATCTAACGCGTTACAGACCTCCCTTACCATTTTGCAAATGTAACGAAATACTGTTGTCGTTACTTGCCATGACTAGCGGACGTTACTTCTACGTTGGTTTTTCGGTACTCTGTGTTTCCCTGTTAGTATATAAGAGCTGCTTATAATAAACCGCCTGTATATACTTTGGCAAGAATGCACTTTTTCAGAGTGATTATTTATATATGTATTTATTTATTTATTTATTTTCACTCTGCAGCGCCAGTACCATAAAAACAAACCAGTGGGGTACAGATCACATTTGTACGTTGGAAACTCAACAAGCAGCACAAGCCAGCAACCAACAATATAAATGAACAATTCAAAACAACACAGAATAATAAAATTTCATTAACGCGAAAAATATTAACAATGAAATTCGAGTTCCACTGAGCAGGTTAATAAAAGATTCACTGTCGGCAGGATGTGTAATGTATATCCTCGAGCATGTGACGCTTCGCGAGCGCGATTCGGACATCTAAAATGTGCAGTCCTCAACACATTTAGCTACCCCAGCTTGTTTGCCTGGACTCGGCAGGATGTGTAATGTATATCCCAGAACACGTGACGCTTTGCAAGCGCGATTGGTAGAACTGAAAAGAGCGGCCCGATGCATGCAACTAACGGACGCAAAATAGACCTCTTCGTGTAATCAAACTTAATCCGGTAAATCAAACCTTATCTTATTCTTTCACGAACCAACGTTGCATTTCCAATTAACGACACGTCAGCACTCCACCATCGCTAACACACTTGTTTTGGTTCAAAGCGTGGGAACGTCAACGCTTCCAAACTTAAAGTTTATGCTTTTTGTTGTTGACATAACGATAATTTATTTGTTTTGAAAGGAACGATGTAACCGGCTGGAGTAGCTAGGGACGCTGAGGCTTAGGGGTTCCGCGCCAGCGATAGTCTGGCTCTTTTTGGGCCCGGTCGAGGGAACCTTCAAATTGTCTTCCGAAAAAGTGTAAAATGGCGCCGCGTATACATAGGTTTGTTGGGGTTTTTCTTCCATTTTTACGCAGTGTACAGAATAAAAATGATATCGTTTTCAAACAAAAATACGGCCATTTTTAATCACAAGTAACGAGTAACGGGTAGCGTAATTTGATAGGAGATACCGCAAAATAATAACGACATTACTTTATTCGTTAGTCATTTGGGATTCTAACGAGTACGTTAGTAAAAAAACAACTAACGCGTTACCAGTAACGTCGTTACTTGTAACGCGTTACTTCCAACGCGGATATGTAGCTTCGCAAGAACAAAATAGCTCCAGGTGGACCCACTTATGAGGCGTACAAAGATAATAAATGTTCTTTAAGGTCCATCAGGTGGGAAATTCAACTAACGCGTATGCCTATATCAAAACTCATAGGAAGAGATCGTTGATGCTTAATGTTAGTAGCTGAACGCTGCTTCTAGGGCTAAGAGCTTATATCACCATTAATATCATTAATGTGGAAAAATGGTTTCATACGATATCTGCGTGATGAGAACCACCACATAGCCCGTAGGTAGCCAAGGATAAACAAAACCACGCTTTCATACTATTGACTGGGACACCGAATTTGCCATGACTGATTTTATATATATATATTTTTATGCCACTATGAGCAGCTTCATCGAGAGCCGATCAACGGTCAAAAATGCCCCCTGAGGGAGGGACCCTTCTGTGCGCTCCCACCAAAAAAATTAAACGAAGACACTTAAGACTGCTTACGTGTAGGAATGCGAAAACATGCCTACACGCAGCGCATTCCCACAAGCAGTGCGCAGTCCGCCACATCTTCCTTTTTCACACTGCTCTCCGGAGGTGACATCAGGCTCCCCGACTGCGCAGGCGCGGCGTCCCGCCGGCTCCACGGCTTCCGTGACGATGCATCTGCGTTGCTGTGCTTTGGGACAATGGGAATTCCGGTGCCGTTTTCGCTGCTACAGACAACGGCTACAGAAAACGCCGGGTTCGCTCCATGGGGCAGTTAATGCTCTCGCATTAACTGCCGCATTAAAAAAAATATAAACTTTTTAGAACATTTTTTTTTTTTTAGCGACTAATTAAAATTTGAGGTTATCGTTTCTGAACCCGTGCGCCCACGTGCCCTCCTCCACGCTAAATGTCGTGTGGCCAAAAGTGACGCTTCCCTGCTCCCTCGCGGTTCAAACAAGGAATCAACCACACATGCGCGCAGCGTCGAGGCGAAGTCGCCGGAACGGTAGTTACCCCTCCGACACCTCGGCCGATCAAACACCCCTCCTCACTCCTGCGGAGACGTGACCACTTGTTAGTCGTCTGTTGGGCATGCGGGGAAGATTGGTCTCTCCGTCATTTGCAGTACACGCGCGCCTTGCCCGACAGCATGGCCGGAGAACTCTTCGCCGCTTGACCGTTGACGTGATGTCCATAGCGAGCGGGAGCCGGTACAAGATCGGTAAGATAGAAGGTCGCGATTAAAGCGGTCACTGTGTTGCAGTCGAGAGGCAGTCACGGACAGCTCGGGACTCTGCGTACGGCACTGACGATGGCGCGGAAAACTGGCGGAGGTGGTGGTCCTTCACTCAGCAGCGTGCTGGGATGCGGTCTCAGTGTGGGCACAGAGAAAGAAGGGGTTATTTTTATGGAAAGTAGCGCAATCTACAAGTCCTGAGAGATGCTCGCCTTCACGTTCTCAGACGCGGGCGGGCTGCAGGTGAGAACTCTCTCGGAGAATGGAAAACGCTCTTTCTGTCCGCGTGGCTGTTGCATTGCTTACTTGGCTTGATTGCTTTCGGCCATGTGAGAGATTTTGATCGAGAGCCGTCTCCTTTAAACTGGAGCGAGCGTACCGGGTGCTTTCGGCGAAAATGTATAGCCGGCGCGCGGAGAAATAATCCTAGTTGCTAAGCCGTTGTTTCAGATGGAGAAAAACACGCTTCTAGCGGCGGCCAGTATTCTGGACGAAGCGGGGGTTTATTCTCCAACGGAGGCGCGCAACATCTGGGCTTTGCTTTGTGTGCGGGTATTTGCGGAAGCGAGAGACGTCAGAAAAGGGCGTCTGTGCGTGCTAGAATGCCATCCAAACAAGCGCATGTTGAGAAGGGTTCCTCCCTCAGGAGGGGAGCATTCTTGACCGCTGATCGGCTCTCGATGAGGCTGCTCATCTGCATATAGTCCCCACGCTACCCCACCAAACTGCGCTCTTCGTGCACGGATGGTAAGTTCCCCGAAAACTCTGTTGGCCTTTGTGCCCCACGGGTTCCGCTTGCAGATGTCTTCCTGTTTTAGCGCGGGATACTTCGTCTTAGAAAACCCCTTTGCGCCACTTTCTCGAGATATATTTTGCCTCTCTTAGGCACCCATGACGGAACATTGAAGAAGGGCAAGCTAGATATAGCGGTGAACTGCTCCTCGATTCTGATTCTGTTTCCGTTTGTTGCGGAAAACCTTTGTAACGTGTATCGAAAGGAAGTTCACTAAAACCGCGCTTAGATTAAGTTTGATAATATTATAATAAGCACAAAGCAGCTTGGAGAATGCCAAGATAGTTTCATTTGTGAGAACCTTATTATCACTATATGTGGCTTCCCTATGCACGTCTTTGGTTATCAATGACTTGGTACTGTGACTGTCTTTTTGTTTGGAAGTCAGGGTTCCTTCCCATGTGTGATATATTTGCTATTTCGACATTTACGTCCCTTTAAAACTAAATTTAGACCAGTTTGTACTCTCAAAAAGGCCACAGTTCAGCTTTCCAATTGTGTTGGCTCTTTGTCGCCGGTCGTCGTCATGCGCTCCCTTCTAAACCGCCTTGTGACTAGTCCATTCCAAGTGTTTGTCGCTTATGTCCTCTGCAGGAGAGCGTGATCGCCGAACTCCCTGGTACCGCTGAAGGCAGTAGGATGTCCTCGGGAGACGCTGATGACAGCCACAATGATTCATCGGACAGCGGTGGCGGTGGTGACGGAACCGGCGGCAGCGGCGGTGGGACTCCGACTTCCACCTGCCGACTCTCCGGGCGCTTCGCCCGAGCGGTGCCCAAGCGCCGGTCGCTCATCCTGCGACCTTTCATGGGCTCCGAGGGCAACAAGTCGCCCACGATGGCGCACAACACCAAGTACAAAGATTGCCTGCCGCCTGCGTACCACTCCACCAAGAACATGATCAAGACCATCAAGGTACTCGGATACCGTACTCGCTTGTCGCGGTCCGATGGAGCGCCGACTGGGAACCCGTCAAGTTAATAGCTGCTTGTCTTCGAAAAATTAAACGCGTTTAGATACTATAGGAGTTAAGCTAATTACAACGCTCGAGTAACTTCCTGACCTAAAGCGAAAAAGATCTACAGTTGAATGTTTAATAGGATGTTTCGCTGACTAAATGCTCCTGCGCAGATAGCATCTTTTAATGCAGCCATTATCTTGGTCTTGCTATTCGAATGGCTCGTCCCTTCCGTCGTTCGCAGTGACCAGTTTTTGGCGGCCACGATAGGGATGTCTATGAACGAGCTTCCCCGTGGTCGTCCTACACTCAAATTCTGATAGCCTCTATGAGGAGCACCCGGAAATCATGGGGATATGAGCACTACGCGTTATTTGGTTGCTTGTGCATCGTATTACAATGAGAACTTGCACGTAAAATTCAAATAATATCGTTCAGATATTTCGACCACTCTTGATATAAGCTGGCAAAATTGGCGCCTGCAACTGGTGCGTCGAAATTTTTGTAAAGTGTGTACCTTGAACGTTTTACTTTGAGGTATTTCCGAAGCGTACCTAAATTTTTGTAAAATATGATACGAAAATTTCTGACATTTGCATGGCAGGCTGAGACGCAACAGCGTCGGCTATAATGGCAGGTGTGCTTTTTATTTATTTAACGGGAAGTTTAATTACACAGGTTAGCTCAGGTTATCATCAAGATCATTATTCCTCGCTAACGCAGCATTGCTTTCCGACCATCTGCGTCTTAGGCCGCCGCTCAAATTGAAAGGGATTTTATTCTCATTTTGAAGATGCACAGACCTACACTTTGAAATTTTACTAAGTTAAACCGACCGCTAAAGTACATCTTTCACTAAACTTTCAGCTCATTCGTTAGAGGCTTCGATTTAAGAAGAACAAAAAAATATTTTCCTAAAATTTCAAAGGAACGCGGTAGAGAAGGCCTCCAGTGGAGAATAAAAACAACACAGAATAACACAGAATATATGGGCGGGCCGGTGAACTTTCAAAAAACCCGAGAGCGAGGGAAAAAAAAAGGCCGTCCCCATTTTTGTTTTTCAGTCTCGGGCCTTCACGACGTTCCAGTGGAGGCTTTTTCCCTCGTGTTTTTCCATTGTTTGGTTCATTTGACAGCAGTTTAAATCTCTGAGCGAAGCTGTATTTCTTTGAGCCGCAGGCGAAACCTTATTTCTGGGATTTTTTTCAAGCAGACTTTCCGAAATGTCTGCGTCTATAGACCAACACGTGGCCCTGACGTCACACAGCTACGGTGGCGCTGTTGACAGCCTAGCGCATGCGGAGACGCTTCACTTGACGTGAATTTGGTTTCTGCGCACGCGCAGTGCCCACACCATGGTGTGGGCAAACGCGGACTCGTATGGAAACAGCGTGTCGGTCTATGCTTTTCAGTAACGCACTTCAAACACCAACCATTTATCTTCCAGATGGGCGAGTGATATCGCGTTCCACTGGTTACATGTATATGCCGTATCAGTGGCAGACGAGTCGTACATTTATTTATTTATTTATTTTTTTTACGTGCGAGACTGTCAAAGCGTGATAACACTTTTCTTCTTCCCTGAGTAAACTTATTAAATAACTATTAATCATTGGCCGTCCGAGTGCACGGCAAATCAGCATACTTGCAATCAGTGAACACTGACACTGTAGCTTACTGAGTATAAATCGTTTATGGTGCTTTCTGATTATTTGAAGAACCATTCATGTAGGCTTAATCGCCAAAATTCCAAGGGATAAAACAAGGATTCTGGTAATGGCTGTGAAAAAATGTCATACCCCTCAAACAATTACCGTGCTCATGGCAATAAGTTGCACACCAGATAAAGGCTCGATATGCAATACCATAGGCAGCGCAATCATTTCTTTGGAAACTTCTTACGTTCAGGTGGTGTCGCAATTGGCTTCTGTGCTCCGAGTTTTCACTAGTATTTTTCAGTGCGACTGACTGCTTAAACGTTTCGTCCGAAAATCTGAGTAGTGTAAAAGTCTCAAGTAACTAAAGAGACATGTACATCTTGATATGTGTGTTTTTATTTTATTTTACCTTTTGATAAAAGCGTTTGTTTTTCTTTAATGATTTAGGTGTATAGACCGTATATTCTACCTCCTACATTTTTTTATTTTTTCACTTTTCTTACTTTGACTAGAGCAATGTAAAAATTCTGAATCGACTTCATTAATGTCTATATGGTGTTGCCCTTTATCACGGGCACTTTCATTATCAAACGTGGTCTTTAAAGAGGAAATAATAAATAATCGAAAATATGTAAATCACTGAACCGGACTTGATCGAATGAATCAGTCTACGAAGCCGCCGAAAAACCAAATCTTTGGGGGAGCCGGGATGTGAACTCCGGGTCTCCAAATATCCGGTCGGATATGCGAATCACAACATCACTCCGTCTTGTCTTTCTGGCATTTTTTATCTGTTTTATTAATGCACCGAAACGATGTGTATCCAATCAGTGGTGTTCTGGAAGCACACGCCACCGCGTGGAACGAAAATTCCTCGCACTGTTTGTCTCGTCCGGTTCAAGGCAGAGGTAGATTTATGGAGGGGGGGGGGGGGGGGGGGGGGGCGACCGCCTTTTCCCCTAAATCCGCCTTTTCCCCACCCCAATTTTAATTAAAAAAAAAAAAAAACTGATGTACACCGGGCAAAAGTTCAGTTTTTGGTGACATAACAAATATTGGGTCAACAAAATAGACATGGGCAATGTTCCTGTCGTAACGTCATATCTCAGCAGACCTCCCCCTCCCCCCCCCCCCCCCCCTCCCCCATCCCATAGCCTGACCCATAAATCCGCCCCTGGTTCTAAGATCAGATTATCCTAGAACCGGATTGTGTCGGTCCAGCCGTGTTTAGTGCATTCGGGTGTGGTTACAAGGCCTGATGTATGTATTGCTGGAGTCTTACAGATAATGGATGTTTAGCAGAGTAGGACATCACGAGCAGCACCAACTTATACTTGTTTTTGATTGGAATCTCTTCAGGAGCAGAGAAGAAAGCTGTTCCATTCGCCGCTCTACGAGAGCGAAATCCACTTGAAAAAGCTGTACATTCAAACCTGCAAGCGGCTGCCCGTCTATGGCTGTCGCCTCTTCCAGGTCAAGGAACTTCTAAGGGGCAAGACAAAGAAGCGGGTAAGCATCTAACACATCCGAATAGCTCGTTTTTGAGGCTAAATTACGGGTCCTGTAACTTAGCCCAACAAAGATGTCGGTTCCCTCGGTGGGAATTTCCAACGAGCCTTTTCAATGACGCGGTATTCTTTACAGAGGCACTTTGAGGTGGATGCCTGGATGCTACGCGCATCGTCATGCGGTCATTAGGCTCCCATAAGTGTCTCCCTTCTAAGCTCGAGTCTGAGCTCCATGCCCCAACCCAAACCCCAAATTTGTTCGATATATTTGGGGTCTTTGAAACCGCCTCAGCCAGCTCTGATCATCCACCCGAACCAGAAGACCCTGTGCGGTATGCGGCGTGCAGGGTGTACGCACTCGTGTCGAGCAGAGAGCCCATGCGTGGCTGCGCCTTGCGAGGTGCGATCCGAGTCACGTGCAAATTCGCCGCCTCCTTCTGCGAAGCCGTCCGCGTGCACGGGGCGTCCTTGGTCCATCTGTCTTCGTTAATGACGCGTCGAGCCTCTCATCCGAGGCTAATTATCGGGATCCAGCGCTGTTGTTCTTGCGTGCAGAGAACGCATCCGCTGTCGCATCTGAGTGTGCCGCACAGCGTTTAGCCTCTGCGCGCGTCCAGCCAAGCTTGGCAGGCGATGTGTTCCCAGCCGGTACCTCTTCCGGACCGAGGCAGGAGCGCGCGTCTGCTCAGTGCCACGCTCCTATTTGGACTGGTTTTCCTTTCGCGAACAACCTGAATTGCTCCCTTAACCCAGCCGGACGAAGAAGTAAGTTCTCGTGGTTTCAAGGTCCTCGCTAACTCTCCCGCGACTCTTCCATGGCTGCTTGCGTACGACCAATCTCTCTCCAGTCGCCGTTAATGTTAGATTTCCCTCTCGAAAGGCTGCTTGCAGCAGCGCTCTCGCGTGCATAGGCGTGAGAGCGTATAGTAGCTGTCTAAACTGTTTCATGTTTTCCGGGCTCACTATTTTGCGGAAAGAACGCGCAATTTCTAGCGTCAATGCTGTGACGCGTCTGGGCCTGTTCTTGGTGGCCAGACTTGTTTTTACTTTCTAATCTACAGTTTTTCATGACTTGATTGAACTTTCGCGTGTAGCTAGTAAGCTACAAAAATACTTTCCAAGCAGAGTTTTACGAGCATACGTCGGCGTAGATTTCTATGGAACAAGGGCGTGCATATTATAGGAACGCAGCCGCTTATCTGTCTTTGTACGTACCTATCTGTTCCATGCTTTTATTCTAGAGATTCCCACTGGACGCAACCTTTAACAGTGGCTTGTCCTGGGAGCTAGTAGCTCTCTCCCTAATGCCGCCTTTTCTCATTCATTAATACCCACGTCTCAGCTTCTTTAATGCTAGCTCAGCATTGTAATCAAAACAGCTGAGCGTTTCTCGTGATAATAATAATGCATGTTCGTTCTAGTGGTACGCTATCTGTATTCCGTTAAAAAGGTAGCTATGAAGTTTTCTTTTTTTTTTAACTAGTTTAATTTTATTGTGGGTGCAACAATTGTTTTTAATGAATCGCAGTCGACACTATTGAGTAATCTTCACAGGATCCACCTAATTTGTGTCAATGTATAAAAAAGACGACTTTTTTTTTTATTTAAAAATTCAAACAACGCTGTGCGTGTTTTCTTTCTACGTGGATACAGTTTTAAGCGCAAGCAAAGCCACCCCTCAGCCAAACTAGAAAAACCGGCTTTAAAAATTCTGGAGGCAGCTCATTTCAGTATACTTCGTCTCGCTGTTTACAGCCGATTTCATTAGTCAGGATTAAATTACGCCTCTTGTATTAATTGAGAAGGAGATATAGGCGATTGTGTGGTGCGTGTCGTGTGCGATGCACTATGCACTGTGGAGTTGAAAGTCAAGGGTTTATTTGGTGCTTTCACTTTGGTGATTTATGCACCCTCTAGATCTAGCAGCACACATTTTTCAAGCTGAATTGGTTGATCCAAAGCAAAAGACGGGAATTGCATTTGCCATATAAACAGGTCTTCGATCGGCGGATTTTACGTTGTCTTAATCACTTCCGATGCATACAAACACCACTCTTCTTACAAGCTGAGTGTCAATAAAAGATGAGCTCGAATATTGATGAGAGGAACGGCATCGACGTAAGAAGCGGGCCATAACGAATCACATTGCGATTTCCCGCGGAAAGTGTTTGCAAAGAGAACTATCGACGGCATGTCCGAAAAGAACAGCGGAAATCGAACCTAGGGATTATCGACGAGGCTGCCCTATGGCATTGGACGCATCGGCGTTGCACGGTAGCTAATTTTGGATTTTCCGTAACGACACCTGCCTCGGCATGGCCTCCAAAACGACGCGCAGCTTATGCGGGCCTCCCTTCCCGTCGGACACAACTATGCGTCTAATCGTTCGTCGCGCTGTCCTGTAGGCACACGCCCTGCTAAAGAACGACGTCCCTTCGCCAAGTGACGTGCGCGAAGCTGACTGCGCAGCCGCGGTGCGAGCTCGTCGGTGCGTTGGTTCAGATCCGGTCGCTGATGGGATCTACACATGCAACGCGAGGCGCACTCCCGCGCTATCACCCGAACCAGAGCTCGGGGCTAAGTTCGGCCGTTCTTCCGACAGGCGAACCGGGTCCTGGCTATCGGCATCGAGAAGATCGTGCTCCTAGACGACAAGACACTGGCTGTGAGCAAGTGGCAAGACACCGCTGAATTGCTGCAGTGGCGCACCGGCGGGGGCCGAGCGCACGACCGATTGGTGCTCGAGTTCCGGGGCTCCAAGTGGGCCTTCGTAGCGACTCACTCTCTGCGCTCCATCAGCACCGTGCTCTGGGAGATCATGCAGGACCTCGACGCCCGCTTCCTTGACGAGCAACTCATCACCACGCGTGAGGAGCTCGACAAAGGTGCGTGCCTTGTGGCCAACCACGGTCTAGGCTTTCCGTAGTTCTAGATTCGCTGGCAATTTTGGAAGAACGGGGAGGTGTCTGGATTGTCCTAAAGTCACTAGTTTGTCTTACCTTCAGCGCGAGCTGGAGGTAAGACAAACTAGTGATCTTTACCGCGCGAGCGTGCCCGTCTGGTCTGCATGGCGTGCACAAAGGGCACGGAGCTCGTGCTTGAAGGCAATACATATGAAAGCTATTATCTCTTAAGCCGCAGTCGCACATGCCTAATACAGTGTTTGTCGCAGACATGACGACAGTCAAGCATGTTTGAAACATATCCGCTTCATACATGCTTCGAAAATGTTTGCAGACAGTTCTGGTGTGCCCAGTGTGACCGTCAAGACCTCGGACAGTGTCTGCACACTGCCTCTTTTGCACGATATGTATTAGCAGTGTTACCGCGGCTTTATGTTCTTAATTTGTTGCAGTGACACTTCTGGCTCGAAGGGCTAAACATAAATGGACAGAAGAGAGAGCGTTTACCTTTTGCATTCTGTCTAGATATATCATTTAGGACAATGTTGCTACTTAATAGAACTTCCTCCATGAGCTCTCGTGTTGGCCCTTTTGAGCACATTTGTTTTTATTGCGTATTTTTGAACTTAATGTTCCTAAAGCTCCTCAATATAGGAAAGTGACGCCAACCTCCTCTCCATAAAGGGAGACCCTTCCCTCCCTCTTTCCTCCCCGGGCAGACGACGCCAATAGTGAACGTGGCCTTGTAAATAACGGGGCCGTAGTACCGAATATTCCACGTGAGCCTAAGGAAGTGAGCGCGGGGCACGGATTCGATACGAGTGCTGCGTCAGCGCCTGACACTCGTCTTCAATCAGCGAGGACTCTCGTCCACCCCGCTTCGCACGGCGTGACGCTCAGAAATGGCCACTGATATACCGGCCGTGTTGCACTAATTTCAGCGCTACGTAGTGTCGCGGGAACGAATTTGGCCCCTCGTAGTATGCGCAAACCAACCGATGTGCAAAGGTTCAGAAAACAATTTGGGGGTGAGGGTGTTGGAAAGGAGGAATGTTGACTACTACAATGGTTCGCGTTATTTTCAGTGTGGTGGGACTTTACACGCGCCCTCTCACCGCACGACGCAAGCACTTACATACATACAGTTTTCGTGTGATTGTTACCATTTTTATGCGTGGCTTAGAGGGCATGGACATGCACTTGCATTTTTACCATTTCTTTAAATTACCCGAGACTTGGGCGAGAAAACTATGAAGCATCAAAACGTGGAAGAGAAAGGCAAAGTGATAGGAAGACAACGCCTCGAACACACTTTCATTTGTTGGTCGTTCTAAAGCCTAAAGCATTAGAGCTACAAGCACCGCTTTTACTCGACTGATGTTTGTCCCAACTATGATTCTTTTACTTTTTACTAATATTACATTCAATTAATATTAGGGCTGGGCGCCCATTAAACATTTTAACCCAATTAATCACCACCTTTAATCGTTTAATTAATATATTAATCGGTCTCGCTCATTTCCCTGTATTATATGCGCTAAAAAGTCAAAATTATTATTATTATTATTATTATTATTATTATTATTATTATTATTATTATTATTATTGTTGTTGTTTGTTTTCCTTTCCTGATAGTGTAATAAATGTTGCGTTTTTAGACATAAGGAAAGAAGCGCATGGACAACAGTTTGTGCCGGAATCAGGCTCAAGACTGCTCGAGTCTCGTTTATTACAACTGTAGAGGATAAAAGAACGACGCCTCAAATACAAGGGTACACCGTACAGGCATAGCCTCCTATAGATTGGCAAAGCCTGGCAGATCGCCACGAAAAGCGGCCGCCGAAATGGAAAAGGTGGAGCGGCAGACAACGGTTGAGAGGAGAGTCACGTGACTGGCGCCCCGCTGCGGCGAGACGCTGAAACACACTTTTCCCGAGCGAACAAGTGTGTTTCGGGTCCTCGCCGCTGCAAAAGCTGTGCGCTGACGTCCAGGTTCTACTAGAAATGGCTTTAATGCTCTGCACTACAAGATCCAATCGCTCCAAATCTGCGACCGAGCACTCTATGGCTCCGTCGTCGAACTGGCAGGCTTTGTGATTATTGCGGGCTTCTAACTCCGATTCCCTCAGACCCTGTCCTCGGATGAAGATGACACAGCAATACCTCGCTCTCGGCAAAAGGGTTTATTTACTCACTTATTGCCTGGGGGGTTTCGGGATCGGGGAACGATCACCAGCGAGGCCGGGTGAAAGTCCGCGACCACTGCAGCTGTTCTATGTCCCAGCGGTGGTCGTCCGCACCACGTCATGGGGACGTCGTCATCCAGGGTCGCTGTCCGGTCCGTTAATCGAGTCCGTCGCTCGACCACGCGCCCGCACTTCCCCGCTCCAGCGTCCGCCTCCCGCCGAATCCCGCGCCAGCGTCCTCGTCTCCTGTCACCGCTGCACGCTCGTTGCTGTCCGCCGTCCGAGCGAGCCACCGTCCGCGAAACCCCCCCCCCCCCCCCCCCCCCCAAAAAAAAAAAAAAAAAATTGGCTTGTTTTGTACAGCCTCGATGGGAGGTACACCTCAACAGGTGATCGGTCTCTTGGCTGTAGATGAGAAATTTAGCCAGTGCAGTACAACCGCTAACCTGGGTTTTTTGAGGTGCATCACGCAGTAGTGATTTCACGAACGCGTGCCGGTACGAAACTCACCCATATCGGAACGGGCGCGGGCGGTGGGGATCGAGCCCAGGAGGTTCCCACGCAAGCTTCCGCTCCACGCTCCGAGCTGAGACGCGTTAGCCCACTCGGCTACTTCCTCCCCCCCGAGCCCCCCTGTGTCCCGCCTCCCCTCTTTTATGGTTTCGCCCCTGGCCGATCAAGTGCACCCCCACGACCTGTCTACGTGCCACCCCCGCGATCCCCGAACGGGGGTGCCGCACCAGGTGATAAGGCTTACCATAGCCTCCTCTATACGGAGGCTATGGTAAGCCTTATCGTTGTGTAGTTAAACTCCGTATAGAGGAGGCTATGGGCTTACTCGTCCGGGGATCTGGAAGAGCGGGGAAGGGGGGCCAGGAAGAACGACCGCGGGTGCGAGGGGGAAGCAGGTAAGACGGGGCCCGAGGGGGCGGCCGTGGGAAGGATCCCTACAGTATAAATAGGGCTCCGTGTTTTCGGATAAATCCGAAAAACTCCGAAAAACACCCGCCGATAAAATTTTTGGCAATTCGGATTTATCCGACAAACTCTGAATTGTTATGTGCCCATGACACGCCCCCTTCCCCCCCTCCCCCCCCCCCCCCCCCCCCCTTTTCCCGGGCCAAAAAAAAATAATATATTTTTTTCTACAATTTTGAGCAGCGCAGGATTAATGGTCCTGGGAAAATGACACCATAATTATCTTTCAAGCCTCGGACCGTTGTCAAAAGGGAGTCTTCCGGCTTGTCTCGTCAAGGTTGGTTCAGGGAAACAGGTCATCGTACCATTCGTGTCACGACAAAAGTCACTCTTTTGGCTGCAGTTTGGGCCATGCGATTTGGGATTTAGAGAAAAGAGAGGGTATGTTTCTGGGGGTAACAATGAAAGCTATGGACCATAGAGGTTACATAAAATAGGGAAGAGGGCAGTTAAAACTTCTCTATTGCGTCCTTAACCACTCCACCTCGCGCGGCCGCGGGATAGATTGATGGGATGACTACGAGCTTCCTTGCGGCTACCTCCGGCAGTTTATTGATTTTAAGGTATCGACGTTGATCGAAGCCACACTTGTGTGCGACTTTTGTCGTAGGACAAATTAGTAATGCCAATGAAACCAACGCCAAATTCAACTGAAGAAATCTTAATTGGCTCAAGCGCTTTATATTTTTTATCTGGCATATGTTTGCATCCGGTTATTATTTATTATTTTTTAATAAGAAACACTGCAAAATTAATCTTCGAATTTCGAATAATTTGGGATTGGTGAAAAATAAACTCCGATAAACACTGAATTTTTGCTAAAAATGAACTCCGAAAAACACCCTCCGAATTTCGCGAAAAATAAACTCCAAAAACACGGAGCCCTAAGTATAGAGGAGGCCATGGTACAGGGCGCTTATGTTATGGCAAAGCCATGGAGGATGGTTGCGTTTTCCCCGCGTTTACGTGTTTCGCGGTCGCTCTCGCTGTCAGGAGCGGGTAAGATGTTCCAGCTCGCGTTTAGGCGAGGATAGGTGCAAGTCTACAACAATAAACAACGCAGAATTTCGATTATGAATCAATCTCGTTGTGTAGTTGAAAGTAGTCTATAGACACTCAAACTCACAGATTTATGTTTCAGCTGCATGAGGCAAAGAGGTTCGTTGATGTCCTCCACCAGGAACGACCTCCTTCCAATTTTTCGCAATGTTTCCTGCTGTGCCAAGCGGAGACTCGCACGGCGTTCGAGTGGCCGGGATACATGTAACCTTCTGCACTTGTCTGGAGCAACAGATCTTGCCGCTGCAGTGGACTTTAGGTCAAAATTTCCCCTATATTGTGCCAAACGGAGACTCGCACGGCGTTCGAGTGGCCGGGATACATGTAACCTTCTGCACTTGTCTGGAGCAACAAATCTTGCCGCTGCAGTTGATTTTAGGTCAAAATTTCCCCTATATTGTGCCAAACGGAGACTCGCACGGCGTTCGAGTGGCCGGGATACATGTAACCTTCTGCACTTGTCTGGAGCAACAAATCTTGCCGCTGCAGTTGACTTTAGGTCAAAATTTCCCCTATACTGTGCCCTTCATTCAGGTGTTCTCGTACACGCATGCGTGATGCAACCGTTTAATTTTTACTTTCTTTTGGTTTGTCAAAATTTTACCGATTAACCGGTTAATAAAAATCAATCACGATTAAGGAATTAATTGATTAATCTGTAGGTTAATCGATCATTTGCCAAGTCCTGATTAATAGGCATTAAAGTGTCGCCAAGGCCCATGAAATGACTGAGGTTCTAGCTTTAAATCCTTACGCGGT